ACCTTTGGGTTGGAGCTCGTTCGCTACGCTCACTCACCTTTAGGTTGGAGCTCGTTCGCTGCGCTCACTTGCCTTCAGGTTGAAGTTCGTTCGCTACGCTCACTCACCTTTTGGTTGCAAATTAGCTGTTGTCATAAATGTAAAAGAAATAATAGTGCTGCACCCTGTTGGTAATCCTTGTAACTTTAATGCTATTGAACATCATAGAACAGAACCAACTTGTTTAATTGAAACAGCTGTTAAGATTCATTAATTCCATTTCTCCTAAGGTTAACATGGGAAACTCCAGAGCCACTGGGGCGGAGCCCTTTTAAGAATTTCGAAACGGGAAATAGTTTACTTCCTATTCGCATACCTACAGAATTTACACACCAAATTTCATAACGATCGGTGAAGTCGTTCCGGAGGAGTTTGCAGACAAACACTGTGACACGAGAATTTTATATATTAGATTATAGTATCTTAAAGTAAAACCAAAATATTATTTTCTGCATTCTCACCCCGTAGCGAAGCACGGGCAGAGCAACTAGTTTCTAACTAAAGCTTGATAGAATAAAAAGTATTAAACACGTTGTTGTAAACTCTGGTGTAAATTTGGCATCTCACCCTCACCACTACGGTCTAATATCTGTTCACTTTTCACTCAATAATATGTTAAAACTAATCAATCTATGTCCATACGTCAATTTAAAGTAAAATATCACAACTAATTTCAATAAATACGAATTTCCAAAAGTACAATCACGAACCTTCTCAATAGCCTGTGTGCATGTACTCTGGAGTGAAACTTGTATTTATCAAGATTCTGAATCAACAAAGGGTAGGCCTATACAAAATGAAGGTGTCTCTTTACTTCTACCCAATTCAGATAAGAATCTCTCTGTTAATCCAGGGAAAAGGGGAATCGTTAACTAAGAGAATATGCCTGTTGCTAACTATTTCAAAACTTTCTGTGTACTTAAAATATAACTCAAGTTTCAGTTGTTTTAATGTGTTCAGTTATTGTCCAGTACGGTACTGTTTTGGGTTTCTTGTTGCTTTGGAATAAAAATCTTGCGGTCAATTTTCTCCTGTATTCATTTTAGTGGTTTCATCAAAGTATTATCTTGGTCAAAGGCTGAGACTACATACCATAAACCTACCTGAAGAATTCATATAACTCAAGAGTCAAAGGCAAGGGGCTTAGTTCTTACTGATTGTAGCCCAATTGTGAACCAATTTAAAAGATCTTGGGACCTCAAAACGAAAAAAGTAAATCGGTCCCGGGTTCTTACAATGAGTACTACGTTAATAGCTTATTCCCTATATGGGAAATTCACTAAAATATCTGTTAGATACAGTACCATGGATAACCCTATACCAAATTTGATCAAAATTAGACCACAGGTGTGGTTTGTAGCTCTACACACATCCACACACCCACGCACGCTGAATGAACTTTTACTACCTTTCAATTCCTTAATTTAACATAGGAAACCCCCTTCCTAATAATAACATGCAAAACAAGAGACGGAACAGTCTATGAAAGTGAATTCATAGCGCACAGCGTGTTACAGAATTAGCATATTTATACAGGCTAGTTGTATCATGATTTCTACCTGATTGAGGTAAGTAAATGACTCTTTATGGTGTTATCTACAATCAAAAAGTTTAATTTATTGTAAATTAGTAGTTTTATTCGCCTAAAAGCTGTCTGAAACGAACATATACTTTGAATGGTAATGCATTTTTATTTCGTCTCGCAAACAAGTTTAGAGACCTATTAATTATTGAAATGAGCAATTTGTTCAGGGGCCCCTCGTTAATCCATTTGTATATATTGAACCGGAAAGATATAGAACGAGGCAAGCATGTTTCTATAAAACCTTTTTTTCTCAGCTTATGTGCATCGCAGGGAAAATCTACGCATACTGTTAGAAAGAAATTTTCCTGTGGATGTGCAGAACTTATCTATATATTAATAGGCAAGCATGTATCTTTAAAACCTTTTTTCGCAGCTTGAGTGCATCACAGGGAAAATCTACGAATACTGTTAGAAAGAAATTTTCCTGTGGATGTGCAAAATATTTTTATAAAATAAAATAGGCAAAAAAATCACAAAAAATAGATTTAAATTTGAAAAAAATTAACATGGGCCTTTTGGGTTGCTATGCTAATGACGAAATAACCAAATATTAACAGAATATCAAATAGCTATTTACATTACAAGTGTAGTAAGAGCGTTTTTACATCACGCAGGTGAAAGTTGTGCAACGAGCGAAGCGAGTTGCATAATTTACCTAAGTGATGTAAACACGCTCTTGCGTAACGTGTAACGTACAAGATTTTACCTGACCCGACAATATACAGGAGGTTACGAACAATATTTTTCATTACCCATTTCACTCATCTTATAACAGTAAGGTTCATTTACAAACAAAAGCTAGGTTAGGAAAATTCTCCAAAACATAACAATAACAATAAAATTCAAGCACACAGCTGATTTCTAGCGTTAAACGTCGTTGGCTCCATAGAGTTATATTTTTTAAGTTATCCACTCAATGTTATTTAAATGGGTTTCATTACATCACCGAGTGAGTTTTTTGATACTTTACATCACTCGAGAAGTAAGGAAGTTGTATACATCACGCTTAGGATAGGGAAGTTTAACATGGCGGGTTAGGTAAACAAATTAATGCAATTCCAATCACATGTTTTATTTACAGCGTGAGGTGAAAATAGAGAAGATGTACGTACATTAGGGGGCCTACAGTCATATTTTGGGTCGAGTTTTCGACCATTGGACGACCTCTAGTAGGACGCAAGCAGGTTTTTTGGGACAATAATTACTCCTCCGAAACTACTGAACCGATTGACATGTTTTTGGTGTCATTGGAAAGAGCGTAATGTGAAGTTGTGCAGGAAACTTTCTTTTTAGGAAAATAATTAGAGAGTGAGGCCCTGGGGCCCTTTAAAGTTTCGTATATCTCCACGAGATTGACATGGGAAACAAACATTGTTATGAAACTCCAGCTGTTGTCAAAAATTAAAAGTGAGAAGAAGAACATTATGTTAATTGTAAACAGTCAATGTCTAAAAAGAAAACAGAGATACCTTTTTACACAAAGATATGGTGAACAGGGATATACATCTTGACAAATAAATAATTTGATTCGTAGTTTGTTCAATTGCATTACAATAAGGTGTTTTACATTTTGAGGTTTTCAAGGACATACGTCCCTACTTGCCACTAGTATATATTATTTTATATAATATTCAACATATATAACGCAATTAAATATAAATATTATGAATTTATTTGTAATTTGTTTGTATTTTATGTGCTCAAAAGAGGATCGATATGTAAATATATGAACAACGTAAATAATATCTTTCATCCCCTTAATGATAATTGTCTGTACATGAATTTAATTTGCGATATGCTAACGTTTATGAGACAGTTTGAACTATTGAGTTGTTTTATGATACTAGCGCACTACGTTTAACACTGTATTATTTCTTAAACGAAGAATGGATGCAGTATCCTGTTACTATTGAAATCCCGCTTATTTAATTTGTAAAATTAGAGTTTTGATAGTTTAGGATAGGTAATATGAAAGCGTGGAAACCCCCTGATAAATCTTAAAGGGATGATTGAACTACACAGTAAACGTTGCTGAAAAAAGTCAGTGAAGTGATAAAACAAACAACACTATCAGCTGTTGTCGTCTGTTGCCTAGAGACATCAAACATTGGATATTGATCTGAACCTGTATTTCCTTACATTTCTTGCCCAGCGGCATGCTTCCCAGCAGACATGTGAGTAGATTAGACAATAGATAAGATCAAGTAGACATTTGGAGTAGGCTTGAACAGATAATTAGAAAATCCCTAGAGTATTGCCGAGTAATAGCGTTTTTCCTTCAGGCAAACATGGGTTTCGAACATAAAGGAATATTTTAAATCGGAATACCAAGTTAAAAATTATCTTCATTCCCTATGCGAGATTTCTGACAATACTAGATTTTTTAACTATTTCAATTTTTAATGTCTTCAACTTGAAATACGAAGTAGATTCCTAAATTATAACTTGGTAGGTATTCCGCAAGAAAATGAAAATTTAGGTCTGAAGCCAGTGGTTGCCCGATTAGTAAAGGTCAACAGACCACTTGGCATTGTTTTTGTTTTTTAAATTAGAACTTTTTTGTTTATTCAGAGATTGTTTACAGAGATTAAACATGTGTTAGGTACTTGCTTTACCATGTTAAGAAAAAAGAAGGAACATACTAATTTGAGGGGTTTGTTTTGAACTGAACCTGAACTTTGCAGTGTGGGATAGCTAGCCCCCAAGGCCGCATTAGATATACAGTATTATTTTTAGATAATATTGGATAGCCTCTAAAACTTTGAAATAAGCATTTGAGGATTATTTCACATGTGCATAAGTAAAATGATCCTGTGTAGTTGCAGTGATTACAATTTGCATCTGTTTAGTAATCATAAGTAAATCATCGAACTAGTTAAGATTGGCATGATTTAAATATGACACATAATACGCTGGAGACTATTATATCACGAATAGTACTTCTGCTCTTCCACTGTCCTACCTTCTACAGCATAGTGAATGAAAAATAACAGAGATAGGTACAATAATAATTAGGTCTGAGCATCGGGTCCAAAAAAATCATGACGGCTTCAACATCGAGGGGGGGGGGACCACCATTGGACCAATTAACTTGACGTTTATAACCCGATGATAGAGTTTGGACTATGAAACCACTGTAGTCACTAAGTCCATAACAATAACTACACAGAATATCTTTTGACTGGATGTCACGTAAAACAAACCTCATCAGTTAACACATTCACCACCAGGTCACATAAGAGTCCTCAAACAGAGGAGTGTGAAAGCTAGTAGACAACTTGTTAAGTTAGCTTATTAAATCTTAAACATTTAGGAGTTGCAAATAAAAGAGAGATCCAAGAACGACCAAATTGAATGAAATATAATTTTCAGGCGTGACCAGTCAACAGGTTATGGGAATGAGCTACTTAGAGTGCAGCTTGCTGATACACAACCTTACGAAAAACCCAGAGTAAGTAGTTTATAGCTTACTAGTCGATGCTTTTAGAAAATAATCTTTGTACGAAATAAACTATTGGAGAGGTTATCCATATATTAATTTCACAACTAGTACCGTAAGTGGCATTTTCCGTTGCGTGCTCAAGTTTCAAGTGGGGCAAAGCCGGACACAGCTACACCTAAGTTCACTTGCGAGATTCAACTAACTTAAAAGCCAGAGGTTTATAAATCATATCATATCTTATAGACAAATCATATAATACTATGTAACTAGCAGAAGCCGAGTACTTATGACACGTCAATGTAACTATCGAGTGCGTCATAGTATTGCATACATCATGATTTTTGTACGCACAAGATTGTAGTGCTTCTTATCAGTATTAATGTATAATTTCACTACTGTAATTTTGAAGTTAGTATACAACCGAATAAAATAATACAGGGGGGGGGGCAATGAAAGCACCACAATTTATAAGTAGTAAAAATTCAAGAATATTCTCCCTATGTATATAAATAGCACATCAAAACACAGGTTATCTTTTGCCATATTAACTTAACAAAGTCATTTTTCAATTTCTTGAAAAAAACCCGCAAGTGACGTCCTTGTCTTACTTGACATTCCTTTTTAGTCACTTGAAAACTCCATAAAATACTCCTCCAGCATTTCTTCAGGAATCACTTTAGATTTTGGACAATTCTTAGCTTCGGTTCAAGCAAATCTGTGCGATGACTTTGAGGAATCTCGAACTTCAAGTAACTTATTAGAATAACCCCCCCCCCCCAAAAAAAAAGAGGAGCCAACGTAAAGCTTTCAACAACAAAAGATTCCTGGCAAATCCCTTTGGACTTTTGAGTTACTGCTACTCGCACTCTTTCAACATTTGCTGGTGTAAAAAGAGATTTGCGACACCCACCGATTATTTTTAAGGTTTGCGTTTATCCTAAATAATTTTACCCAGTTCACCATTATTTTCCAATCTGGAACAGTGCCATGTTGACCAAGCGTGCAACGTGGTCCAAACAATCTACGGGTTTTTGCACAAGAATAGGTTCCCACATCAAAATCTCAGTGTTAATAGCCTCAGGCATAATATTTACTAAAATGGCATAGTTTAATTGATGTGTTAAGCACACCCTTTCATTCATTGTTGCTTTACTTATAGTGTGACAACGAAAGAAAATCGGGATGCTCACACTGTAAATGTGTAAACAACATTATGTTTTACGGCCACTGGTGAAATTTTCTTCACCGTCTGTGTAAAGGTTCAGCAGATTTGATTAACATAATTTTCAGGTGGGTAGATGATGGATCAAGAGGTTTTGTCAAGAGTTTTTCAGTAATAAAACCCATATAAATAAATATTTTGCATGGCATATACATATACCATGGTATATAAATATATGGAAACTTTTGCAGATGCCATAAGTTTAATGGCCTTTGCTGCTACGGCAGTTGCTGTATCGTGGCTAGACACCAGAAAGACTTATGGACAAACTGGTATTTTTGGTAAGGATCATAAAATATATTATGTGACTTTTACTAATATACATGTATACTTTTTAAAACGTAAGAAGTCTGTCTTCATGTGAGTGTAAACTGGTTGAACCTTTGACCTTTGAAGCTTTGACTATTAATACAACTAGACATTCCAACCCCTATATAGCCAGTTTTTCAATCAAAATTATTAGTAGTTGATGTGAGCCACCGACAGATTGTGCTGATTCAAAGTACTCATTTCTGTTGACAGGTACACAAACATTTTTACCAAGTTAAATGACTAATTGTGAGCTATAGCAACTGTTATGACCCGTCAACTTGGTCGAAAAATGAGGTAGAAAATTGAACTTTAGGCACTGGCGCATTCTGTGACTTGCTCACACTCTTTTAATAACAAATTGGCGACAGCAGGTCTATATACATAGATGGGATGTCTACTTCAGTATCCAATAGTCAATGCTATGAGTCTAATCAACATCAAATTATGCGTCCAAGCTAGATAAAAGAATGCAAATTGGATCAAATTATGTGACAATAAGGAGTGAACCGTGTCCAAATGTTACAAAAGTATTGACATATACATAATACAGACATTGGAGCAACAAAATATTGACAGTATAACATTTATCAGAGTGTTTAAATTGTAGGACCAAACTAACCGTGTTTCCGAAACGGGATACAATTATGTGTTAACACTGTGCTAAACTGAAAATCAATTGTTCAAACTGTATAAACCAAGATTCTAAATTGGATAAATTTGTGAGCAGCTAAAAATGTGTTATTGCCAAATTATTTTTGTCATTGCTAGAGAACTAAAATCAAACTATTCGTCCAAAATATTCAAGTTTACCAATCCAGATTTAATAAAACTATGTACCAAAAATTGGATGAAATAGTTAGTAAAACGCCCATCAAGGTCTGTCCACAAATTGATCAAAATATTTGTAGGATTAGACAAAACTTGTGCCAAAGTTGGACCAACTCGTTTCTCCAAAGCTTTCCAAACCAAGTGTCCGAATGGGATCAAACTATTAGCCTAATTAAAATTAGATCAACAAGGATCAACTACATTAAATAAAATTTGGTTCCAACCTTTTATCAAACGTGCCAAAAGTTGATCAATCAGTTGGTTCTAAACCATCCGAAACATGTATCGAATCGAATCAGTCTACTTCTCAAAAACTGGTTCAAACCATGGTTCAAACTATGTATCCAAATCCAACCTCTGAGCCTAAATCAGACCAGACTGTATGCCAAAGTTTGATCAAACTACGTACCAATAACGAACCAACCTGTTTGTTAATAACTGTCCAAACTATTGTTTTAAGTTCAATCAGACTATTTTATCCAAATAAGATCAAATAAACAAACCGTGTATCAAAATGTAAGCAAACTGTTCCTAACTGCGTCCCTACACAGGCTCGTGGTGATGCTGGTGGGTCTGCTAGTGTTCATGTCTTTCGCCTCCTATGTGGCCGGTTCGTGCAAGCGACGACGCCATAATCTCATCCGCATCCGCAACGCGTCGTGCAGCGCCACGGCGGCGTCGGCGTCGCTGGCCTCGGGATACGGGGAGACTGATCCAGAGGGCATCATACAACCTCACCTCTCGTACAACAAGAAGAACTCTCACAGGGCAACGGCCATCATCGCCAAGTAAGCTGTAGACAGTCACATTGCTTAAACTTTACAGGGTGGAGTGTAGTAAATGACTTTTTATGTATATCTTTAGCTGCGTAGTTAGTTGTGAAGAAAAGACAGGAGGCCACTGTTTATTGGTGAAAACATGAGTTTTTTTATTTATCCAGTTGTGGTGGACAATAAAGTACTTAGTTTGTGATCACTTGCATTTTTTGATCTCTTTAGAATGATGATGCAGCTTGCATTTCGTTTGTAATTCGCGATTCCCCAACTGCATATATTTTTGGGTGGCAGTTCCTAAATGCTCGGAATACATTTTCCAATTTAAAGTTGTTACCTAGCTAAGATGACCATGCAGGGAACCGGGAATCGCAAACGGAGGCTGAGCTGCACTGCAACAACCGAGTGATTCATCTATAAGCATATCTCACATGGCCTTGCTTTATAAAACTGAAAATAGGATGGATACAACAAACCTTAAATTGTTACCTATAAACCACGATCAATCCCCTTCCTCTTCAACAACAACGCCTTTACATGATAAATTAAAGCACAAATACCACGCTCGAGCGTGGTCCATACATAAACTTTTTCATAAGGGTCTACCCTGTGATAATCTTAGAAATTATGTTTACTTAAGTCAGCGCTATGTTATTTTATTCCAATGTTACAAAATATTTAAAAACCAATTACATTGCAGCATTTGTAGGGACTAGTGGGTCGTTTGTGTTTTAGACACAGTCACATGATTGGTCTGCGGTCTTAATCGGTTCGTAACAAATTTTTCACCACACTATGATGTTTTTGGCTGTATTACATACGTTAATTGGTGGCTGAAAGTTACGTTTTGCTGGCCATGCCAGCTGTCATCGTAATTTGGGCGCCGAGCAGGTTTTTACAGCCCGGGGCCGCAAAATCAGCTGTCCGCTTACTTACTTAAAACATGAATGAATTTTAAATACACAATCAAAATCCATAGCATTGCAATAGAATTGTGTTATTGTCACCGTTGCCTAGCAACTATTTATTTTTATTATTGATGATTCCTCAAATTATTTTTTCACATAACCTTAAAGTTGTAGTTGTGTTGACTATCAGAGTGCATTATGTTAGTGGTGAATAGTGGTAATAGGGTATAGTGTGGTGAAAAATAGCGTTCGTACCACGGACCGAAATGGTTTTGCAGCTCTCGATCGATTTAAGTTCTCGACTTCGTCTCGAACTTAAAAACTATCTCGAGCCGACAAAACCTCATTTTCGGCCCTAGGTACGAATTAAACTATAACTTAGCCTACAACTTATGTGGGACCATCATGCCATGCCTACACAGAATAAATAATGAGACACTCTAATCATGTGTCTAGGTCTCTTAACCCACCCCCCCCCAACCAAAAAAATCACAAAAAAGCAAAAACACACCAAAAAACCTACTCTGCAGTCTGTTATACCACCTCCAGGAGCTGTAGTGTGTGATATTAAGAACTTATTCTACTGGAAATAAAATTTACAGAACTTATATTTGAGAAAATCTCATAAGTTATTCTTGAAAAGATTATTATGCTTAGCTAAAATATTCCATTATTTTTTCTGGCATAATATTTTATGGATTCTAGCCTTTTCCTAGGTAATTTACGAGTTATAGAAGTGAACTAGTTTTGAAAGAAAAAATACGAAAGAGAACTCTTCAATGCTTTTTGTTCTGACTAATGAATCAATTAAAGTAAAATGAAATAATTCAGGGCAGTATTTATTGCCGTATTGTTAATAGATTACTAGCTAATTGATATTGGGTCATTAGGGAGCTCACAATATGATTGATAGCAACTCGATATTACGCGATTATTCTGATCTGAACAAATAATTTATTTTTTCGTCATTATTCTGGCCTTCATAGTGAAGTAAGTTGTGAAATTGACACATTTGATGCATTTTTAAAGCATAGCGTGTAGGCCTATATCTTAGTTGATGTCGCATTGAAAATAAATTATGTGTCTTACTGAAATATGAATATAATTTGTAGAGTAATATTACTCACTATTGATACCTTAGAACTAATTGATGGCATGTCATACGTTTTTTATGTCACATATCTTACTACAGATGTCAGTAGGAATTCCTCTCGTTCAATTCAATTTAAACACAATTACAAATTTGAGTAACATCTACGAAAGTTTACATGCTTTTAGAATCGATCAAGAAATACGTAGTTACTAAACCAGCAGAGTGGCACAGTAGGCCTACATTATATGAACTGTACGCTTTAAAAGTGTTTAAATTTTGTTTGTATGCTCAAGTACAGTTTATGAACTAACCTGTTTCATACAGATTTTAAAATTAAAACTAACAGACTTAACTGACTAATGTGAGTCATGCTCTACTAGAACATTAGCAAATTCTCCATGATAGTTGTGAGGCCAGAGTGCAATAAGTGATAAGATTTATAATTATTATATAGCTTCAAGGAAATAATTGTTTTCAACGTAACCGATGTTTCATTAAAATCCGTGAAAATTGCCCAAAACTGTTGAATGATAACGTTAACAAGCGAGTCCAGAGTTTGAGGGTAAGGATTTATTTTTTACATTCACAATTTTTAGTGTTATGCAACCGTAGAAAGAGGATTGAATAGCGAGGCAGTGTCAAAGGGCAGTTTACACAAATTTTGTGCAGTTTTGTGCAAACACTAACAACCCCAGGATCGTTAAAACTGTCAATGTCTATATCATCAAACGTTTCTACAGTAATATGTACCAGTTTGTTATCCAAAATGAAGTCAACTGAAGCTTTAACATCACAAGAACTTTTGCCTAACTTTAGTCTATTATGTCGTTTGTGTCTTATTGATCCATAACTACTTCATTTAATAATTAATTTGGTATACAAAAAAGTGTGTCAATTTGGCTGTCAATATTTGATTTCTAAACATATACTGCACCTATAAAATAAAGCCTATAAAAATATTTAATGGAATATAAACCGATTCTTTCAATGCTGAAACCAACTGTATATTTTCCAAATAGCAGCACTCCAGTCATAGTCCTGTTCCACTATCCAGTTTGCCTCAACTTTACCACACTGGGTAGTCTGTGTCCCATAAACTTACGTCGTACTTCTGATGTTGCAGTCCAGGAGACCTGATGGTAGAAGACCTGACAGGTCCGTTGTCGCCTCCATACCCTCCGGTACAACAGGTGACCATCGTCAGGGGCTCCGCCCCACCACTAGGCTTCCGCCAGACCAACCACTACACGGAGCTGGTCCTTCCCCCTGGCTTCGTTGACACCCAATACACGAAGAGATAACACGGCAAACTGACTTACCGCTGCCTGCCACATAATGGGCTACCTGTCAAAGAGGATACAACGGAAGGGATTGATGCTCTGCGAAGAGTACTCTCATATTTACTTTCCTAAAACCCTTAAACCCTTTTTTAGTGGGAAAATACTAACATAACTAACTTTGGACATTGAAGAAGACATCCCTTGCATGGACCAGTTTTAGACAATTTCTACCTTGATTTGAGTCACTGAGGTACTTGATGCAACATAAAACGCTAACAACTTGTGTTAAGCCTTAATAGTTCTGTACAGTGAATATTTTCTTAGCATAAATATAAAATACAAAAACAAAATGTACACTTTGTTGTAAATCTAGTAAATCTATCTAGGAGCTAGAGCTGTAAATTTGGATTGTTCGATGACTAAATTTGTTGCTTGAAGAATTATTGTTTTTTGATGGCTTAAAATCCACTCTTAAATTGCTATTTAGTTAAAGGTTCTCAAACTATTATTTATAATATTTTTTATATAAATAATTTTATTGGATATAAGCTGTAAAATCAAAACTCTGAATATGCTTGAGGGTAAATGGCCATAATAGTTCCTAAAAAGTAATTCCGTTTTATAACAACATGACAAACTATTTATTTTCAGACTCAACGCCAAAAGCGTTTTTCGGACAAACAAAACTGTCAGAAACAATATTGTTTTTATTGGAAAAGGTTAGACTGGTTAGACGCAGTGTTTTTGTTTTACGCCCGTGGTCAGACAATTAGTTTTATTTTAATTAATCTGTGATGTGGACATAATGGGTATTTGAACGAAAACATGTCTTGAAAAAAGTAATTATGAGCCTAAGATGTGTAACAGAATTATGTCAGGTGTGATTCTGTGTGTATGCAAATATAATGAAAAGTTTGTGACCTATAAATGTATTCTCTAAATAATTACACACTATAATGAAATAAAGTGGGAATAGAATACATCGAAAATGTTTCAAGTTGAATAAACGCATTAAAACAAGTTTACGACAGTTCTGTAACCAAAAACGCCGAAAGTTAACGTAAGAGAAATGGTAACTTAGTGACGACAGGTTGTTTGTAATGTCAGGAAGATTAACGTTAAGTGATGAAATGTGACTTTAATTTATAATGGAGCGTTTTGTAATGTCCACATTCTACCACCCTTCACAAAAACATAAATAAAACAATGTGGAAGAGGAATAAAAAGCTCATTATGCATATCAGAGAAACTCTAAAATACCCCCGCCGCAGCAAACCTGCCGACTAACCGAATTTCCATGTCTGAATTGATTTTCAGTTAAATATATTTTAATAACATTAGGTTTAACGAGTACCTAGGTTTGCTGCTACAAGGAAACTAATAAAGTGTGTTTTTGAGTAAAATATTGATAGCTTAGTACAAAATAAATAAATTTGCCAAGTTTGTTAAAAATATATCCATAAACAAGCAAACTACAACATTTGACAATATTCTCCTTAAGAATAACATGGAAATTTTAAATTTACAATTTTTTAAATTTTCTCCGTTACTAATATTGAACAAAAATACTTTTACATAATAAATTATTTGTTTTTTTAAGCTCTTTAAAATGGTCTAAAGAGAAATTGGGAAATTTTGTGTTTTGAGGGTCAAAAGTAAGAAAACCCAGTTTTTACCCCATAAAACCCCCCGTACATATATAAAAATTTGAACGAATGGTGTTTTTGGCCTCTGGGGACATCAAAATGAAAAAGTAAATCGGTCCCGGGTCTAGGTATTTCCGTGCCACCTACGGTAATAGCTACTTCCCTATAGGGAAATTCGCTAAAACACTATTAAAAATACCCAGGAATATTAGAATATAGGAATATCTCAAAATGTGAAACAATCAGTCACGGTTGATGCAAAAAAAGACTTAGAAATTATGAGACTTAGACGTTGTAAGACTCTAATTTTATAAATTATTATGTTTATGGACAGTGTTAGATATTATTTCCTAGAGGGGCTTGAGCATTCTGAAATACCCCCATTTCATAATTTAGTATAATAAATGGAAATGTTAAACTATTAAAAACATAACGTATTATAAAGTGAAACCTATTCACTTGTGATTGTATAAATGAATATAAATAAAAAAATTAGAACCCGTTAACGAATAAAACAGTAATCTAAATGAAGGTAGTTGGTTTCTATTTAAACTTTAAATGGAACCTGGATAGTTATGAGCACTGAGCTTTTATAATGCTATAGTTAATGATGACGTTTGAATAACATCATATTACTCCTAATCAGGGAAGTTTTGCAATATTATGTTTGTATTTATTTGAGTATTTCAATTTCAAACGATCGAGTAGACTATATTTAATATGTTTAATGGTTATTTAAACTGTGAATATATTGTTAGAGTTTTTGTTTTAAATTATGTTTGAAGTATGGAATGTAAATGCTATAATTTCACCTCAACTTGTTAAATTATTATGAAATACGACTTGGTCGAAATATATTGATAGGTGAAATTAGCGAAGTCTCAACAATGAGTTGGATGTTATTTACTTTGATTTTTAATCTAAATATTGTTTACTAAATACCACAGTTCAGTGCCTACTACACTTCGTCATTTGTCTGACGATGACAAAATTGAAGCTGAAAAACTGGATTATGATGAAATAATTAAATTAAATGTTTATTTACACCAAAATGTATTAACTCATTCACATATCTGTAGGGGAAACCTATTAATTCAGTATTTTTACTCATAATGAACATAATTGAATGGTTCTCTCAACGAATGTGCTAATGTTAAACTTCTGTATGTATACTGCATATTTATAGTAGGATAAGAAGTTTACTTGAAACTATTCAAAGTCAGTTGTTTAGGTTCTATTTGGGGTGTTTTTATTTTGTTTTTATTGGATTTTTATTATATATTTTTATTTATTTTATTTTTTATATTGTTTTTACTTTGTTTATATTGGTTTTATTTTTATTTTGGGTTCTACCCAAAATAAAACATAATTGATTTAGTGTCTCATTTTTCACTAACAACTTAAATGTTCTCTTTTGGGTTTATAATAAGATAGTGGATGGACAATAAATGTTTTATTCTTTCAGCTGACATGAATTAAATGGTTCGTAAGGAAAGATGCATTTAATGGCACAATCTTCTTCCGTGACTCAACTAAATTATTAAAATATTGTTTGTTTTAAAACTTACCAAACCTTCAAAATATATGCTATGTCTACTTCACGGGAAAAAGGTTAACAAAAAAATTTTAAAACCAATGTATATTTATTTACAAAACTAATATTTTAAAACAACATAGGAATGAAAAATGTTATGAAGAAAACATACATAGAAGAAATACAAATATAATTGCAAATGCTATTGTTATCATATAAACAAATATGGTAAATTCAAATGAGCCACAACAGACTATTAATAGAAAGTTATTACAGCTGGGTTTATGACAGCTATACACTTATGGTTATAAATGAATGGATTGATATCTGTATTAAGGTATAAAAACAAAGGATTCACAATGGACAACCAAACAATGTCTCTATAATTATATAACATATATATATATATATCCCATATTTACATGATAATAACATACAGTATTGGGACAATAGTTAAGAAGCAAAACAGGGAATACATTTATCACATGGTCAAAAATATAATACACCTTATTTAAAAATAGTTGCACATTAATTGTGTTCAATATCTGCAAGTTCTTATTTCAGACGAAAAAGCAGAAAACCTTGTAGCAGACGTCTTTGGAACCCATCAGTCCACAATGGCCACACCTAGAACACACAAAGTAAATATTAATTTGATATTTATAGTGTATATAAATATATAGTTTATTTAAGGACTCATATATAAAATATAGATTGTGATGAAAATGTAACCCAAATATCATATTGTTTTAAATAGTTTTACAAACGGGATTTATTTGTTAGTGTCTTAATCTTTTGTAGCAAAAATGGCTATGTAAATTAAGTCCATAAGTGGGTATTTCGTATATATTTATATTAGTATTGAATAGTTTAAATCGGAGAATAATGCGCCTAGCATTCCTCTCAAGCATCAGGTGACTTTGACGTGACGTCAGATGCAGCTTAGTGAGAGGTGTTCGGTGTAGTCTAGAAAGTGAAGAGTGAGAGGCAGGTGCAGTGAAATTGGACTAGGAACTGTAACTGTTGCTTAGGCGCTGACAGGGAAATTAGGACTTGGAGCATAGATGAGGAAGTGTCAGCTGGGATATAAGATGAACAAACGTCGATAGAAAACGCACAAGACACTTGGACATGTCTTGACAGGGTCTGATGAGTGAGCTAGCCTAGGTTCGATACTGAGTGTTCAGAATCGTTTTGATAAGTCAAAACTGGACCCAAGTGTCCTTGATCATTTGGCTATGGTCTTGGCAAAAGAAACAGGTAGTCATAGTCAGTAATACAAGACTACTTTATACTCAACTTAACTCATATTGGTTTATATGTTCTTGTTCTGTACCAGCAAATTGCTATGCCCCCTTGATTTGATCTATATGTTCTACGCGGTTCTACTATTTTCAATGGTTCTCCGAACATGCCTGTGTGTTCTGACAAAGGTTAAAACTAGGCCACGAACTAACCCCATTTTTGTTTAAAAAATCACACTCGGTTGACATCAGGGTTCAGATTAAAACAACAAAAAGCTACCGACCCTTCTCAGGATTGACACCTTCTACGAGCACTGTACTACTTAGCTACCCAATCCGGCTATATTGTAACTGGTGCCATCAATGTGAATTTGGCCAACATGTCACTTGCTCAAAATGCAAATAACCAACATTTAAATTAAGTCAATAATTACAAGTGGTATAAATCACCCCACGTATCATTTTGTCGATAAGAATGCCTAAAAGAAATTGAATTGAATACATATTAACGAATACAAATTTTTTTGACAGTTGTGTGGTCGACTATCAATCAAATGATAAGTCACCAAATACCTTTGTTTAACCTTGTTTGCCACTCACCAGTGTGGGCCTCTACACATGAGCAATATATCTGTCCAGGTTGGACCAGTTGCAGGAGTAGTCTATCTTGAGGTGGCCGAATGTGCTGAGGCCGAAGTGTCTTGGCTGGTGTTGCTGATGTCTTCTTCTCCTGGCTAAAGACAACAATTCGTCGTACATTTCCTCCGTCTCCTCACTCGACGTGGAGATTGGCTGGATGTATTCCCTGTAACATAACTAAGATAGTGATATGGTATAATTACTGTACCTCTAAAGCTGTGATGTTGTGGATTGGATGAAA